GCTCCTATGCATGTCCTAACTGATAGAGAAGTTCCTGAGTATGAGATCCATCCTTCAGAGCTTGATTTTTCCAACTCTGTCAAAATTTCAAAGGTAAGTAGCTCCATTGCCTAAACTTCTTTGTTGCTGTTTTCATTTGATTTCTTTCCAAATATCTTTAGTAAGAGTTATTAATTGGCCAAAAGAGTAATAGGTTTCTTCCAACAACTGCTAGCAAGTTATAATCATGGTATGTTTTCAGTTGTTAATCCTGTCTGTATGCACGACAGGGTACCTTTCATAAGGCTTCATGGCGTGGAATTGATGTGGCTGTTAAAACCTTTGGAGAGGAAATGTTTACCGATGAAGATAAAGTGTGGGTTGACTGACTCCATCCATTTCTTTTGTATTGTTGAACTAATCTTGCGCTAAAGATTTTAATTTCCCTTTTGGTATCCAGGAATGCGTTTAGGGACGAACTTGCACTGCTTCAAAAGATACGCCATCCGAATGTTGTCCAGTTTCTGGGGGCAGTTACTCAAAGTACCCCCATGATGATTGTCACAGAGTATTTACCAAAGGTAACAGGATAACCACATTCATAGAATGGATGACCTCTCTAGATTTACAAATCATTGTATTAGTTTCAAGATCCCTCACGAAGCTTACCAAATAAATTGTTAACATTTTCAGCAAGTCTTTCTGAGACAAACGACAACTTTCTTTTATTTTACATGCAAAATCTAGTTGAAGATGTTTTTGATGTGTTATTGTTGTTGAAGATGTTTTTGATGTTTTATTGTTGTTGAAGATGTTTAGATCTTCACCTCCGCAAAGTGCTCAGTTTTATATTTCACTGCATAACCTTATGCTCCTAAGTTCTGAATTATCGTGTGTTTCTTTGTAGGGAGATCTTCGACAATATCTAGACCGGAAAGGACCTCTATTGCCAGCGCATGCTGTGAAGTTTGCACTTGAAATTGCTAGGTTAAATGGCCTGTCTCTGTACTTTTACTTCATAGTTATACTGGTTCATATTGTTGAATGACTGGTTGCAATGAAATATTAGTTCTGACTTGTGGCTTCTGATTATCTAAATAAATGGTATCCCTTCAAATTGTTGCAGGGGAATGAATTATTTGCACGAGCATAAACCTGAAGCTATAATCCATTGCGACCTAGAGCCTCCGTAGGTTTTCCTCTTGGTTGTACCAGTACAAATTATTTTGTTACAAAATGTTTTAAATTATACAATATTTCATATCCAAAAACTCCAAAAAGGTTCTCATTTGTTCGAGTAAGAGAACAGAAACATACTGCGGGATGATTCGGGACATCTGAAAGTTGCAGACTTTGGAATCAGCAAGCTGCTGGTAGTTAAGAAGACAGTTAAAAAAGACAAGCCTACTACATCATTGGACAGTTCTTGTAAGTTCTCTTATCTGATCATCTTAAAAATTTCTTCGTTGAGTTATGCATGTTCCTGTCTTGAGCTTAGCCTAGAGCTGCTAGGTAAGCTTAGCTTTTGTGTTTTTTAGTCTAAAGCTAAACTTCCGCCAGTCTAATGGTCTTTGGGATGGGTTCATGCTGATGATACACTCGTTGTCATTCTGGCTAAGCAGGGAGATACATGGCTCCGGAAGTTTACAGGAATGAAGAGTATGATACAAAAGTAGATGTATTTTCTTTCGCTTTGATCTTACAAGAGGTAAAATAACCGAGAGAGCTATGAGACTTCTTAATTCAGCTATATTTTAATAGAGCAAAAAGCTTCGGGCTTATACCATTTTAAAACAGAATGCTGTTTGTGTGTACAGATGATAGAAGGATGTGTACCATTTCATCTGAAAGAAGAAAGCGAAGTTCCGAAAGCATATATTGAAGATGAACGTCCACCATTCAATGCTTCAATAAAATCATATCCTTTCGGTTTAAGAGAGTAAGTATTTTGAATTTTTGAAAACAACATTCATGGCTTTTCTTTGAGAGTCTTTAACGATCTCTCTATTCCCAGGTTAATCCAAGATTGTTGGGACAAAGAAGCATCAAAAAGACCAACGTTTCGAGAAATCATCACTGCTTTGGAGTTGATAAGTGATCGAATCGCAAGGAAAATGGGCTGGAAGGTGAGGCTAGGAAGGTGCCTTCCAAGATTCAGATTGTTTACGAAGAGAGATTATGTGAATCCCAGTAGTGGCCGTTCATCAAGCTCCATCACCAGATGACTGACTCCAAAGAGCTATATTACAAGGGAGATGATTGATTGGTTTTGCTTGAAATGGAAGAAAACAATGTCAAATTCTTTTTAGCTCTTTGTATTTATGGTCCTGATCATGACTGTTTTTCTTTAACCTGAAGGAAAATGGTATGGTGTGTATTTATTATGAGTTAATAATGAGATCTAATTCGAGCTTTTTTTTAAGTTTGAATGTGTTTAAGACGTTTGACTAATCTTTTTCTTCTCTTTTCTTCCGTTGGTGTCTAGTTCGAGTTTAACGATGTTGTAGTTCAATACGAGGTAATAGTTCTGACTTCTGATTATAAATCATCAAAATCAATTAAACAACAACGTTAACCAAAAAATAATAAAATTCTCGAGCCCAAAAAAAACAGTGTAAAGGAGTGTCTGTTCAGTCTTACGTCAAATCGAATCTGTAGATTTTGACTCATGTAGATAGATACACACTAATTTATGCTTCTGAGTTTCTCACAATTTTAACATCACAAACTAAATTTTACTCCCTCCATCTTTTGGAGTTTTTTTCTATTTTATAACATAGAATGTTTTGATACTTTTTAGGTTTATTGAAAACTGTATGACCAATAATCTTTGTAGTTTTTTTTTTATAATTGATTTAATTTTTTTAATTAATATATTAGTTCTACGTTTTTGAAAGAA